GATAGGATTCATTAGGAAAGGGCCATAGAGCAAATATTTCAAAAACGGTGGAGTTAATCATATGGATACTATGCAAAGATAATTCTAGGCAAAAAAGACAGCTGTGACTGAAGGCATACCAGAGTGGCTGAAAACAGGTTGTAAGAAGAGGAAATAGCAAAAATGAGGTGAGCAAGATGTGAATAGGAAGTAGGTCAGATGGTGTGTTGTCTTAACAACCATTTTTAGACCCGGCCAGTGTGGTCAGCAGTTGAGCATTAACCTATGAATCAGGAGGTCACAGTTCAATTCCCCATCAGGGCACATACCCAGGTTGCAGGCTGGATCCCCAGTAGGAGGTGTGTAGGAGACAGTCGATCAATGATTCTCATCATTAATGTGTCTCTCTCTCTCTCTCTCTCTCTCTCTCTCTCTCTCTCTCTCTCTCTCTCTCTCTCTCTCCTTTTCCCTTCCTCTCTGAAATCAATTATATATATAAAGACATTTTGAGGACTGTGGCTTTTATTCTGAATTAGAGAGCCACCAAAGACTTCTGATTTATTTGAATGGGAATACCCTGGTTGTTGTGCTAACAAAACAAACAAACAAAAAACCAAACCATACACATAGACTAATACCTGTTGCTACAAAGAACTTGTTACAGGCATCAGATTCAGATTCTATATTTTGAACATAGAACCAACAAGATTTCCTAACAAACTGAATATGGAAGACAATATTGAAGTAATTATTGATTTTTACCTAACAGTTGGAACAGAATTCTATCCACTGAAATCGGGAAGACTGGATAGAAGAAATTTGAGGGGTAAGTTCAAGAATTCAGTATGGACATTTCAAGTTGGAGATGTCTATCAGATTCCCAAGTAAAGATGACACATGAACAGCAATAAATTTGAGAACAGTTGGCATAAAAATGTGGTGGAAAACCAGGAGACCAGATGAGTTCAGAAATGAAGTTGGCACGACCTGACCCTGTTGCATCCCTATTTTAGGGGCTGAGGGGGAAAGGAGAAACAAGTAAAAAAAAAGACCAAGAAGGAGCTAACAGCGAGGTGAGAAGAATATGAGGAAAAAGCGGTGACCTAGAAGTCGGGTAAAGAGATAGAACACAAGAACACTGAATGCGTCCACAGGAAAGGGAGGACCAGAAAGAAACCACTAATCACAACCCAGCAGACACTAAGAAGCAGCCATCACAAGTCACAATGAGGATCACGTAAGGGGCTCAGGATGGCTTACTTATTGGAAGAGAAAGAGGATGGGGGGTAAAATAATTCTGAAAGGGCTTTCATTATTGTAAAAGTGTTGGTTTATATATACCAAAACATAGACATGAATGTTTCCCTCTCAATGCAAGCAGGTCCGGGTACAGACTCTGCAGAGCTCTTTGAGAAGTGAAATCACGGTGCCTGGTCCAATAGTACTCAGAATTTAAAGAGGCAGCAGAGCAGGAAACCAAGTGCAGGCCCTTCTAAGAGCAAAGCCCTGCATGACAGTGACTGCATGGGACACACCCATGAAGCTGGCCCTAAACACAAGACATCGGACCTAGAACAGAAATACTGCTGGTACGTCAGGCTTCCTTAGCTTTTGGTTTCACAAAAGCACTGTTCATTGAATATAAGCAGAAAAAAAAATAATTGATATCACATAAAAAGAATCTGTTAGAATGCAATTTCCTTTTCCTCCCAAGTTGCTTTCAAACCTAAATCAGCATGTATGGATCTGAAGTCATAAAATGACAGCAAATGGGGCTGAAGAGTCATTAAATTTGATAGCACTAATAAAACCACATGAAAAGGGAGAAGAAAACAAGCTTACTTTTCATTGGCATGCAGATGAATTTTTTTTAAATCTCCTTTCACAGTGCTTTAAAAATATTGGTCAATGTCCCTAAGTGAACACACAATATATAAATTTATTTTGGTTCCATCACATTGGCATACAAAAAATGATGCCTCAGTCAGGAAAATAAGCATGAATGCTAAAACTAAGATAGAAACCTTCAGCTTCTTATAGTGGTAAAATAATATTTCTTCCATTTTTAAAATACATGCATACATAAGTGTATTTCTTTATCCAGCAAATATATTCAGTTTTATTCTACATGTAATAAAAAAGGGAGATGAGCAAGACCTCCACTGCATACTCTGATTCATACCCTGGCTAATTTCAATGATTTTTCTGCCAAAAGTTTTTGTAAAAATCTGTAGTGTATTCTTATTCTACGGTTACTGTCTAGTTCAAAGGCCTCTTGCTCTATGGAGCCCTACCCAATCTTCCCAAGTACAAATAATCACGATTCCTCTGTGCCTCCCTGGCTTGTGTTCAAGCTCACATTACAGCACTTTTATATCTACTTTCATTACTTGTTTTCAAATGTATCTCTGGTGCTAGAGGGGGGGACATCTGTGATAGCAGAAACAGTCATAAACTGATGCATGCCCAGTATCTAATAGCAATGTATGATATCTGGCAAACATCAGGTGTAATATAGAAGTTTCCTGAATAAAGAAATGAACTGTGAGATACATAAAATTGTCTCTGGGCTAAATGTGTTCAGAGGCAGTTAGTTCCTTAGGATTGGGCTGAATAAAGAGGTGGTCTGTGCTACTTGGTTTTACAGACCTCTATTTCTTGATTGTATTTGTGGTCCACTATTCATTTCACCACCAGAGAGTGACAGCTATTAGGCTACGTTGATTCTCCCTCTAGACTTGGATAAACCCTTTGGGGTGAGGTTCAATTTATACCTGTCAGGTTCAGGTGACAGACTAGACTGCTCACAACTAAATGGGAGTATGGCAGACAGGTGCACGCTCACTTAGAGAACTGCTACTTCTCTTTACGAACAGACTGTACGGGGCCATGCATTTAATATTTGATAAAAAGGAAGTCAACATAGGTGGCAAAGTAGGAGGGGAACTTGGAAATTAATTTTAAGCACTTGTACCAAGAGGTCAATTTCTCACATTAACTAGCCTCATAACACAGCAAGACCTTGAAGTTAAAGTTTGGAGAAGGAATCTCAGATTGTTTTACCAGGGGAAATGTGCACACACATTAAATTTTATAGTGGGTTGTTGCTATTTTAAAGATAATGTTCAAATTCATTATTTTAATACGTTTGCTTATGTATCTTGGTAATTCAGTTTAAGGCCCTAATGTTCAAACCCTTATGAGATTTGAATATAAGAATTACACTGGGTTAAACAAAGGTCAGAAGATACCTGAGGGAATTGACAAACCAACAAGAAATTTTACCTGAACCATACACTTTCAATGATTCTGTGTGGTTTCCTTTTCTAAACTTAATCATGCATTCTATTGGAGAAAGGGTATGGAATGAATGATGAATGCCCTCACATAACTGAGAGGTCACATTGGTATGAAAATGAAGTGAAACACATTCATCTCATAATCTTTACATGTTCTAATTTAACGTTAAGAGATTATGTCAAATTAATTCAACTCACTAAATAGTACTGTGTGGTTCAAAATAAAGTAAGTCAGACAGTTGCCTGTTAAAATGGATGAACTCTTTGCCCTTCTCCCTAAAACTTCTCCACCCGTCACTGTTCCTGGGTGGTACCCTCCCCACTGCATCACTAACTTTTCCCACTTTACAGGATCATTCCCATCAACAAGGAAGCATGTTCAATCAGTCCCCACCTTTATAAAACCATTACAGCAGTCCTCCCTCATCCACTGTATCACTTTACCTGGAGTGACTGCAGTTTGAAAATATTAAATGGAAAATTTCAGAAATAGTAATTCATGTTTGAGTTATTTATCATATTCTCTTTTTAAGTAGAAAGAGAAAGTTTACCCAAATCGTAATTAGAATAACCTTATCAGAAAGGTTCAAAATAAAATAAATTTCATGGTCGTATCATTTTGCATTGAAGCATTATATTACATAGATAATACCTTCCTTTAAAGATGTGTATGTTGGTGTTTGTCATTTTTTAAATAGGAATAACATTTTGACATCACATTAAAATACACAGGTTTAGAACTTGCATTGCATGTGAGGAGATTAAAATATATAATAGAATAAGCTGATATGTAATATGAGAAATTAGTATGAAGGAATAATAAATTAAAAGTTAATAAGGCGCCGGGACCGGTTTGGCTCGGTGGATAGAGCGTCGGCCTGGGGACTGAAGGGTCCCGGGTTCGATTCTGGTCAAGGGCATGTACCTTGGTTGCGGGCAGATCCCCAGTGGGGGGTGTGCAAGAGGCAGCTGATCGATGTGATTCTCTCTCATCGATGTTTCTGACTCTCTATCTCTCTCCCTTCCTCTCTGTACAAAATCAATAAAATATATTTAAAAAAAAAAAAAAGTTAATAAGGCAAAAAACTAATGCAAGGCTCTAAGAATTAATCTATCAGTTGATAACATTTCAGTATATCTGCTTATCAGTGAGAAGTACACATTTGCACAGAGACAGAAATTTGAGCAGAATGAAAATGTAACTTAATAAAAAGATCTAAGTTCAGAAAAAGAAAACATAAAATGATCTTAAATACTATCATAAGCTATTTTCTTACTACTACAAATCCTTATTTTTTTCACTTTTATTTATTATAAAGTCTGTAATTCTTTGATTCTATGACTTTTAAATTTAAGATTAACATATAGTAAAAAAAAATTCCCCAATATAAAATGTTAATATTTTAAAACTATTGGAAAGTTAGATAAATTTCATAATTACCTAAGAGCAATATTATGTTTTAGATGTAAGGTTTTTTTTTAAACATTACATTTTTCTCTTCTTATTTAACTAAATATGAAGAGAAAAATTAATTTGAAATGAATGGAATCAATTAATACAATTTAAAATAAATGTATAAATATTGAAATTTAGAAGTGGAGGTGGGGGGAATCTGTGATACTTGGTTCAACTGATATTTATCTAGAATTTTATTTTGAGTATTTATCTCACCAAAATCTAAATTAATTTTAAAAGATACCCACCTTATGTGGTCAACTTACTTTACAATGATCATATTGGAGCTGTAAGGCTGGAACATCCCCTCCGATAGGCATTTGTTGTTTAAGCTCTTCAACTTTCATATTCAGCCATTTGATCAGTTCCTCTAGAGACATCAGCAACCTGGTCCATTTCTCAGCACTGGCCTCCAAATGGGCCCTGTTGAGAGATAATGCTCACCACATTTAGATGTTTGAATTGCATCCAAAAAAAGTATATACTTTCTCTTAGCCTGATAATCTTGTGTGACCGACTAATGTTAATGTCTAAGAAAGAAGCAAAAAAAAAAAAAAACCCTAGTAAAATTATAGTTATTATAATACTATTGACCATGTTTCTTAATGATATATATTATAGATATAATTTCCCTGTAAGAAAGTTATTTTGAATTCAGAGTACACATTGGTACTATCTATCAAAATTATAACATCCACCTCCATACCATGAAAGCATAAACCTGAGCTTTCAAGAAGAATGTGCATAACATTCTATACCAAGTTTCAGTAGTTTATGTGAAGTATATATGCACGTTCAGAATAATATTTTCTCATTTCATCTATGTACATGAAGAGAGGATAGAGAAAAAATAAATGATATGTATAAAAAAAAACTTTTAGAAGGATGTATACCACCTGTGGTTACTAGTAAGAACACAGTAAACACCTACTTTTTATGAAATTTTATAACAATATTTACAATAGGCCCATGTTACTTTTCTTACCAATGAAAACTACACAGAAGAGTACATTCAGATACTTAAATTATGAACTTCACAATCAGGAAACCAGGTTTAGGAAATACATTTTTATGTGATGAAGGCTCCAATAACAGCCAAGGCCTTTGAAAGCAGAAATGCAGACAGAGAACAAATTTGCTCGTTGTTCCTGTAAAGGACTTGGAGAAAACGTATCCAGTCTCCAGCCCACAGCACATGGCTGGATTTGAAAAAAAAACAGATCCATCAGAAACAACTGCAGAGACTAGAGATATCAGCATTTAGTCACTCCTGCTTCACCCCAGTGGACAGACTGTGAATGTGGATTTACGAGCCAATCTGTGTGAAATGGAATTACCTTGACCTTTCAGGTCAAAGGGGACAAGGCTGAAAGAGACAAACGTAAACCTTGTTCCGCGGCAGTTTGCAAAGACTAAGGATTTGGGGCAACTCCAGGTGCAAGAAACTTCTGTTGATCAGGTTTCATATCCTCTCAGACAGCAATCCTCACCTTGACATCGGTATTAGGATTTCCCCTTCTACTAGATTGCTTTTTTACTGAGAGATCTAGACACAGCCACTGCTGTCCCTCAAACCCACCAGCGACTTCTGTTTTGGACATCTGATCTACTTGAGGCTCTGTCTTAAAGCTGAATTTTCTGTTCTAGATCATTCAAACAGCTATTTCCCCATTGATCAAATTAGATGGTACTCCCAGAAATAGATCAACAATATATTTTCTTTGTTTAAAAAGTTCGTAATCTTTTCAGAACTATAAGTTACTGATCTCTAGCTCATCTCCAGTTCATAAAAGCATGACCATAGTCCATCAGCCAATATTATTGTTTAAAAATTTCTCTAAAATAGTATGAACCAGCATTCAGTCACATACAAAAGGCCGACTGTCCTATGATCTATTTTTAGCTTCGTTGTCTACTGGCTAATAGAAAAGAATTAAAAATATATGTTTTATTCAAAAGAGCTAGGTATAAAATAATAATAAAAATTAAATACAAAAGGAAGTTTACAGTATTTTATAGTTCTTTTAGAACTGTATGATTAAAAATTTCATTTTAGCCCTAGCCAGTTTGACTCAATGAATAGAGCGTCAACCTGTGAACTAAAAGGTCCCAGGTTCGATTCTGGTCATGCCCAAGTTATGGGCTCAATCCCCAGTGGGGGACTTAGAGGAGGCAGCCAATCAATGATTCTCTCTTATCACTGATGTTTCTATCTCTCTCTCTCCCTCTTCTTTCCTCTCTAAAATCAATTTAAAAAAAATTTTTTAAAGAATTATTTTATTCTCTTGCATTTACAACCTTTTCTATTCATTCCATAGGTGCTATAATTGACTTCACTTTACAAAATTGTTCCTTTCTTTGAGTTGCCTCTTTTTCATATTTATTTTTTAATTAGTTTTCAATTATAGTTGACATACATTATTATATTAGTTTCAGATGTAAAACATAGTGCTTAGAAATGTATATACCTTACAAAGTCATCAATCTGACAGGCCTACTGCCCATCTGACACCATACATAGTTATTACAACACTATTGACTACTATATTCCTTATGTTGTATAAAATTGTTCTTTAATGAATTCCAATGCTGCTCCAGTGCCAGCTTTTCTGTGTTCCTATTGATTAATTTTAGACCAAATATGTAATTACCTATCCCTGATAAATAATGACCTGACTAGTCACAGAGCAGAAGTAAATCATTTCAATTACATTAACTGAAAACCTCTCTGTCAGTTAAAAAGTATTTTGCTGTAAGTACATTTGACTGACCTGATGCAATTTCTTGCCAGTATTTTTAAGTATAAATGTTTTTTTAGAAGACCATTAGAAATCAGAGTAGAAAGCAGAGGTCCTTCGGAAACCAAGAAGTGTTTGATACTCTCTGTATGCAAAACGTGTGTGCACATGCCCTGACCTCTTATTTTAGATTATCTGATCCTGCATCTTCAATGTCTGTAGTTAACTCTTTAATCAATGATAAGCCAGACATTCCTTTGATTTCCAGTTATACATTCATTGTATTCAAGAGCATGCCAATGCCTTTTTCAATGCAACTAACTCTTCTGACTGAATAGAAAGAGTAAAATTGATCATAGAAATCTATGGCACTCAGCACCTGAAGAACTTTTATAAAAGAGATACTAAAGTGACTTTGAAATTTAAAAAGTCAACATTAGTATATGTACTTTTTTGCATCCTTCTTTTTCCATAGTAATAAAGCAACCTGAACTGGCAGAATCTTTGCTTGAAAAATCTGTTTTGGTTATTCTCCAATGGACTATAACTGTGTTTAGTGGATTACTACCATATGTCCAAATAAATGCACGCTTCCGTAGTAGCCTTCAGTGTTCTAGTTTCAATTTAATTCTTTCATCTTATAAGATGAAAGCTCTTTCTTGGGCAATGGATTGTATGCTTTGCAAGAAGAATTCTTAAATTTGTGTATGATGTTAATTGCACTTTCTCAATTTGACTCTAAACATTTTAAAGCTTACATTCCCCTGAAACTTTAGAAGCAGTCATCAATCATGTTTTCAGAATCTTCACTTAAAACATTTTTTTATTTGACACATATCTGTGGACACTTATATTATAGATAATTGACTCACTCTCACCTGCTTCAGTTCATTTTTTGGTCACTTAACATGGGATGAAAGTATTTATCAACCTAGGATGATGTCTACTAAATAATATACTTTATAAAAATTCCCTCATTTTAGAGTGAATAATTTAATGTATAGCTGACTAAACATTTGTATATGACAAATTATTTGTAAAAATATGCAAAAAGTTTTTAGAAGGCAAAGATTCATAAAAATAATAATTATTTAGGTATACAAGTTGTCCCGAAAAATATATGCACACTTTAACAGCTGATAGCTCAATTGATTTTTTTTTTTTCTGATCAGATTTAACGTATTGGAATTAATAAATTATTCAAAATGTGTATACTTTTTTGGGATACCCTGTAGTAGAAAGTATCTGTTATTTACTTTATTTTTAATATTTTTATTTTTTAAATACAGTTAACATTAAATATTATATTGGTATTTATATACTAGTAACTTATATACTAGTAACTAGAAGTGACACCCCCCCCCCCGCGCCCATAAGTCTAGCACCCTTCTGACACCTACATAGATATTACAATATTTCTGATTTATTCCCACTGCTGTACTTTACATCCAAGAAAGAAAAATGATGGGGGAGGAGGAGGAAGTGATGTATTAATACTTATTTTAAATCATCAGATGCTTCTTCTTTTCATTGTTATTTTGATTAAGTTTTTAGTCATTCTCCCAGTATACAGATATGAAAAAGAAAGGAAATTTTGTAAGGAGGGGCATTTATTAAAATATTTTTTTTTCATTTATTCAATACAAACATTTATGCATCAACCACTCTGCTAACAGTTACTACACTGCTTCAAAAATAGAAACTTCAAGGGTCAAGTGAGGAGCAAGAAAAGTAATCCAAAAGCACGCTGAAGCAGGGAACCTGCTGGGAGAACTATGGCTGGGAGAAAGAAGAAACATGCTCAGGAAGCTCTAGTGAGACTGTGGAATACAAACATAAGCCCAAGCTCTTTCCCAGATAGACTTGTAGACACCTGGAAAGCAGGTCTACCAGAGACTAGATGACCCAACCTAAGAGGAGCAAAGACATACTGTCCCCTATTGTGTGAGGACTATGGAATCAGATGTCCAATTTGGCATTCTCACAAAAAAACAAATTTATTTTTTGTTTACAGTACCACCCATAGATTATAAATTATAATAAAAGAAAATACCTTTTTTTGTTAGTACAAAAAAAAACACACAAAAAAAATAGTAACATTAGAAGAGGTGTATTCCTGCTGCCAGAAAGAGAATGAAGACTCATTAGGGGGGGAAAAAAGTGAAGTCCTCAGAATTCAGTGTGCTGAAGGAACAGTAGACCTGGGCTTCCAATATGATAGCCACCAGCAACATGTGGCTATTTCAATTAAATTTCAGTTAAGTAAAATTTGAAATCAGTTCATCAGTTGCATAGCTATGTTTCAAGTGCTCAACATGCCACATGTGGCTACTGGTTGCCTTACTGAAGAATGCTGATGTAGAACACTTCCATCGCTGCGGCCAGTATAGGGCCCAGCACTGAACCAGAGAGAAAGGAAGAAGAGAGCAGAAGACCCTTCCTCTATTAGACTTGAGAAAAGGAAGTTTTAGTATTTTACAACATGCGTAGCAAAATCAGCTCCCTGAGATTAAAAGTGGAGTCAGTGACATTGTAAAATGCGGTAACATTAGATATAATGACAATGTTAAAGGTTAATATTCTCTAACAGCTTTTTAAAAGATGCCCTGAATTTTTAAGAGGCTCATAAAAGAATAGGATGATAGAATTTTGTCTTTGAACTCTGTTTTCATTAGATTTGACAATTTCACTGGCCTTTGAAACCATATGTTAATAAGGACCTATATTAAACATCACTAAGCTGTTAAGTAGATATTTAATTAACATAACCCTAAATTAAATAAATGTAATATAAAAATTTAAACCATGTCATTCCCATTACTGAATTTATTAGTATATTTGCTATTCACATTTTTGAAAAAATATTGTCAAATATTCCTAAGAGCCTATATCCTAGCTGAAGTTTCAATTCATTAATGTGTTGGTTTTTAGCACAAAAGAATATTGGGTACCTTGGATATCAGTATTTAAAAAGTTTAATCTCAGTCATCCAAAAAGATTATAAAAATAATATTTAAGATATTTACCAAGATATTGAGCCAAATATTATTACATAGTTCCAATGACCACAGTATGGTCCAAGGAGGTAATGTCTGTAAAGCACTTAATGTAGGTCTGGCACATGGATGTTTAATAAATATTAACTGTTATTGTGATCTTTGGGAGATATTTTTTTAATAAAATTATGAAAAATTAGAGCAAATGCCCCCCTACTATGACAATATTAACTTTATCACAATTAAAACACAATTTAAAATTCAGAACACACAGAAGGGGCATTTATCAGATGACCTCACTCTCAGAAAATGAAACAAGACCACCTGCAGAGAGGGAGTGTGGGAGCTAAAGCGGAATCAAAGTCTTTTTTAAAATAGGCATGGTGGTGCCTATGACAGAAAACCAGTCGGCACCACAATACCAATTCTAAGTAGAAAGGCTCAAAGTAAAGAAATGTTATTTTTTACTTTCTAGTGCAACACTAAGTAATTAGAATCAAGAGCAGGCAAAAGAGAGGATGTGATCATCAGAATGTCAAATATTTAAAAGTAGATGGAAAATCAAGTGGGGAGAGGAAATTTAATATCCTGACATCATTGAAGTGGCTTATGATGGAATCCAAACTGGGTAATAGGATTGATGAGTTTGAAAAGAGGAAGAGTTTAAGCAACTAAATATGAGGAAGAAGGAAAATAAAAAGAAAGCTAAGAATTCAAAAGTTGAAAACATTAGAAAATGTGTGTGTATTTTTTTTTAAAAATCTACTAGTTGTAATATCATAGATTAATTATATATATAGGACAAAACTATAAAGTTGGATAATAGTATAGAGGTGGTCCTGGTATATAATAAGGTAATGAAAGAAGATACCCAGTTCATCAGACCCATAACTTTAATGTGAGGAGAGTTGATTTACCGATGAGATGGTAAGTAATTAGGATTTTTATACAACAGAGTGCTCTTCTCTAACTAGCATGACAAACAGTGGCATTGAAATGCACATGGGCAGGTGGAATGTAGTAAAATAATACATGTGCTCTGGAGAACATCTGCCCTTGGTCTCTTGAAGATCGAGTGTCTCAGGAACGCTAAGATGACACGAGTCATGAACTGATAGGTAGGGCCAAGGCTATGGGACTTGAAACAGACTAGGGATAAAGATTTTTATAGATAAAGTAAATACAGACACTTGGCAGTGAAAAAGTAAAAAATTATCAATAGCCACACCAAAAATGACAAATGAAGATAAGATGGAAAATTAAAGGGAGGTCAGATGCTTAAATTAATGAGGAAAATAAGAGAGTGCCTAGCAAATCAGGAGGAAGCAATTAGCTGGTGAGAGGGTGGACTAGTGGCTGTATTCCCTTCTAAGGAGAAGTTGTTGACAGATGGAGAAGCAATGCTTTGGACGCAGTGAAGAGGCTGCCACCTCTCCCTGCCACCAGCTGTTCCGCGGGTGCCATACTAGAAGTCTTTGGCTGACATTCTGATTGTTTGGTTCCCAATGGCTGCCAGGTGAGGAAAATGGACACATTAAACTTAAATTAAATTTAAGTAAACCAGGCAATTAAGGGGAACGCCAGCTTTCAATTATAAAGAAAAGTGGTAGAAGAGCTTACAGAAATATTAAAGGCAGAGAATATTTTGTTCGCAAGAGAAGTCAGTGTTAAGGGTAGACCTTGCTTTAAAGGAATGAGCGGAAAGCCAGGCCGGTGTTACACAATGGTTAGTGTATCCTTATGAAATAGGAGATTACGGTTAGATTCCTGGTCAGGGAACATGCCAGGGCTGTGGGCTTGATCCCCAGTATGGGGTGTGCAGGAAGCAACCAATCAATGGTTTTTCTCTCATCGTTGATATTTCTATTTCTCTCTCCCCTCCCTTCCTCTATGAAATCAACTATATATATATATATATATATATATATAATTTTTTTTTAAAGGAATGAGATCAGGTGCAAGATCTTGGTCTTTCCTTAACATTTGCTTTTGGATGTATGCTCAGTAACATGATCTCAGTTTATTCTAAACTTATATTCACCATCTATTAAAAATAGTTCTAAAATATTCATGACTCTCAATAACATTTAATACTTGTCACAGAAGTATTTTCTCAAGGTCCTTTACTAGTCAGCATTCTGGTCCTCAAATTCATCTTTATTTAATTTTGCTCTCTTCAAATGCAGACATGAATCATCAATTTTTCACTTTAGTGTCCATAAGCAATATTTAATTTCTCTAAAACATCTTCAAATGGGATATACAAATAGCATGATGAGGCAAAACATGTTCATTGCCAAGAGTCCAAAAGATCTAGATTCAAATCCTGGCTTGGCACTTGTTAGTTCAAATTCTTGGCAAGTTCCTCACAATCATTAAGCCTGTTTCCTCATATGAAGATAGAATTTTACTACTGACCTTACTAGAATTTTTTGAGTACTGAAAAAAGTAATGTTTGCAAGGATCCTAAAATAGTTCTTGGCTAAAGTAAACAAAAATTATCAGGTGTTGGTAACATTATAATTGGTATCATCAGGTTGAATATATGCAACTTTGTGAATAATCAAGAACAGTTGGCAAAGGGCAGGGGACATAGATGGAACTAAAACTAGGACTTTAAAAAAATAGTCTTTGCATTTAAATCTTAGGGTATTTCTGGGGAAATAGCTGGTTCTCTGACTTACAATACAAAAGTCATGAAACCCCCTTCCCCATTAGTTGTATCTGACATTGATTATTCTGACCTGATACTAGCAGATTTTGCTTTCAAGTCATTCCATCTTTGGTTCATATCATCAAGTCGATGCTGAAGCATCGTAGCTTCTTCGGAATTTCCTAGTGCCTTTACCATCTTCTGCCTGTTTCCATCAATACTTTTAAATATGTCATTGTGGGCATCAATTTCCGCCTGAATGTCCTAAAGATGGAAAAGCAGAGACAACGCAATGTTAAGTATTAGTGTCAACATTACTCAAGATTGCTAAACAGAGTTTTAACTTTTTGTACTTCATAGATGAGGTGTATTTTTAAAAGAAAAATAGTTAATGTCATCTTAAATAACAAATTATAGTGATTCCACAATTCTTACATTAAAAGTAATAATCTTTAAATCTTCAATACCTTGATTTCCAAGTTCTAAGAATAAAATATATTATAATCTTAATTTCATGTATTAGCTAGTCCAATTCAATCAAATTATTTATCCCCTTTATACACAAGTAAAATTCCCCTCAAAATATGAAGTTTTACAAAGTTTGTTAGATATTACATCATTTTAATTGCTGGTTTTTCACATTTAGACAAATTTATTAATTGTTTATTCTTTTAATCGAATAACGTTTATTTCTATAATTTTTAAAGAACACTTTCATAAAAATGTCCTGATTAAGAAATAAAAACTAATTGTAAAGTAATATTTCTCCTATTAAATAGATAATATTCTGTTTATTTTTATAAAGTAACTTTTAGTATAGTTTAAATAAAATAAAAAAATATTATAAATTAATAATAAAAATTTGTTAAAAGACTTTGAAGAAGTATTTTGGTAATATGTATCAAAAGCCTTAAAACTGTTGAAATTGCCTGGCCAGCATGGCACAGTAGTGGAGTATCAACCTATGAACCAGGAGGTCATGGTTCAATTCCCAGTCAGGGCACAGGACCAGGTTGCAGGCTCAATCCCCAGTGGGGGGCATGCAGGAAGCAGCCAATCAAATATTCTATCTCATTTTGGATCTTTCTATCTCTCCCTCTCCCTTCATCTCTGAACTCAATAAAAATATATCTCTTTAAAAACCTGTTGCAATTATGTATTCTAGGAATATTTATGTATAAACACATCTATCACATCAGTTGTTTTAAAACTGAAAAAAAGTGGAAACTATCAAGCACTTCCACTTCTGGAAATATATCCAAAAGATATGAAAACACTAATTCAAATACATTATCTGCTCATAGCAACATTATTTATAATAGCCAAGACAAGGATAAAAGCTAGGTGTCCAGCAGTGGAGGGATGGATAAAGTAGTTGTGATATATATATGTTTTCTAGCCATAAAAAAAAAAAAGAGTAAATCCTACCATTTGTGACCACATGGATAGACCCTGAAGGCATTATTCTAAGTGAAAGAAGTCAGACAGAGAAAGACACATACTGTACAATCTCATGTGTAATCTAAAACAAACTCAGAGAAAAAGAAATCAGGCTTTTTGCCATTACCAAAGGTGAGAGTGGGGAGAGGAGAAATTGGAGGAAGAGAATCAAAGGATACAAGTTTCCAGTTATAAGTACTATACAGCATGATGGCTACAGTTCACATTGTTACATGACATACAGAAAACCTAAGAGAGTAAATCCTAACAGTTCTCATCACAAGACAACTTTTTCCTTTCTTTTTATTGTATCTGTATAAGAAGATTGATGTTAGCTTAACCCACTGTGGTAATCATTTCACAATATCTGTAAATCAAACCATGATTCTGTATACCTTAAACTTATACAAAGATGTATGTCAATTATTTCTCAATAAAACTGGGAAAAAGTGGAAACTATTATAACACATTATTGGTGATACACTAATCAAGTTTAAAAATGGAGGATGCAAAACTATATATTTTGTTAATTTTAAAGTTTGTGTTTAAATCAGAATATGTATTTCTATGTCATTGCACACACTTATTGCTTATTACATTTTTATTGTATTAAAAAATGTAAGCAATAAGTCAAAAGAGCATAATCTCTGTATAAGAGGATCAATGATAATCTTGGTGTTCATCAAAAGTTAGAAAGAAAATCAACATCCCATCCAGAAAGTGATCAAAGAAAAGGAAATCAGCAAACATTGTGTGTGTTTTTTTAAATTTAACATCTGATGCCATATTTACTTGGATAAAGATATCAACAGCACCTAAAGGCAGAAAAACCATCTTATTATGTCCTCTGTATCCTTCACAGTCTCTGAGCCTAAACTAGAGATAACACATAGGTAGATAGGTAGGTAGGTAGGTAGGTAGGTAGATAGATATAGATAGATAGATAGATAGATAGATAGATAGATAGATAGATAACAGATGGATAGATGCATAATGCATGAAAAAAAGTATGAATAAGTTCACCTTGACTGACTGGCATATTAGCCACTCTAGCCCCACAAAAAAAAATCTGATAACTAAAGAATTATAATGGAATATAGTAATAATTTTGTTTAATGTCTTCATTTAAAATTTTTTCACAAGGGAAACTTAAAATTATTTAGAAGCCTGCATTGCAAAGTCCTGCCTAAGCTTTTCGCTGGAAATTTAGAATAACTAGCAATTAATGAATCATGCTCCTTCACAGATCACTGTGCAATGATTCAATGGCTTTAAAATCAAGACACCAGCATGGGAGGCTGTCAGATTATGACCCTGATGTAGTTTCAAATGCTAAAGTAAATTAAAGTTTCCAAGAAAGAGGGTTTACTCTCACTGCTCAGCTGGGAGACTTGCTCTAGAAAGACTTACCTCTGAACCCTGAAAGCCTTTCTGAACATTACCCAGCACAAAATGGTTACTGATAATTAGTAATGGGAATGCAATTCAGCTAGAAGCACAAAGCAATGTTCTTCCAATCATTTAACATAAGCCAGTCATGTGCACAGAGGGGCCACAGCAAGGTATCCAAGCCATTAAACTAACACTTGAGAGCAGAATAAATATTTTAAAGATTCACTTATGAGGCTTGAAACCTATTCTCAAACAATGTAAACAGAGGGTTAGAATTAAAGAACTACATGTTTTTCTCTAAGTCAAAGCACCATTAAAAGCCTAAATGCATTCTTTCTGAAGAATCTTCTAGAAGACAGTTACAAAAGCTCACATCAGCTCAATGATCAACAGTCTTTCTAAATACAACACCCACTCCCCAGGACAAAACAATTTTACAAATAAAGGAAAACATTGATTTATTTGCTTACTTCTTTAATCATTGACATTTTAATACCAATTTTGCCCTTAACTGGCTATATCTTTAATGATACAACCCATAGACATATTATAAGCGAACACCTTATAATGTATATCACATACATTTTACTTCTTTATAATGTTCTCTAATCAACTAGAGGCCCTAATTATGTATGCAAAACTATTTATTTAGATTATGATAAAAAGGACTGTTTGAACCCTCCTCCAACAGGAAACAGATTTACAGAGTAGCACCAGAAAGACTTCAACAACTACATTGGTGCTAGAATGAATTCATCCTCTCTGGGCCTTGTTGACATAACTTTGGTTTATTTTTGCATGGCATATTTACCTGACCCTACATGAACATAGCAATGTTTTCCCTGAAGGAGCCCTGACCCCTTTCCTGAAGGTGAAGAAGTAAGGTCAGCAACAACTTTCCTACTGTATCCCAAAGTGCAGGCTAGATCAACAACGCTAACCATTCAGGGAAAGGAAGTCCTCTATTCCTTGCAGAATAAGACCGGACTTCAGAGGCAGTTAAGGACTGATGATCAGGACTTCAGAGGCATTTAAGGACTGATGATCAGTAGTCAGCAGGATTATGGCCAAAGTTTTAGGTTTTGAAAAGGAGAAGTTATAACATTAAAAAAAAAAAATAGGTATTATCTAAAAAATAATACAACAGCCAGATAATATCATCAAGGGTCATTAGTGATATGTAAATATATGTTGAGACAGTTTCTAAGGCTGCTGGTAAGTTATTGCAGTTCATTAGTCAATTTATAATTAAAATTAATTTATTTACTTCAATGGATTATCCGATCAATAATTGATAAGCTACGTTTTCTTTCAACAATTAATCTCATTGGTTTTAACTACTCTATTAAGAATTATGAAACTGCCGCTTGGTCTGCAGCAGCATTTATTAAGAAATCAATACCAGTAATGTTTTTCCCATTTCCTGTGATTATAAATATATGTTAGACAACAGAGCAGAAAAAAATTTAAAGAACTAAGTGGAACAAGCTCACAATTAACTGCACTTTCAAGATAATTTGAACAAGCCAACTTACAATGACAAAGAATCAATAAATAAACAAATGGCATTTTAAATTCCAGCATAGCAAACACTGCTATTGACAAAAATAGTTTTCACAGCAAAAAGTTCCAAATTCTTGACTCTATAACAATTGTTACTAAAACACACTAAAAATCCTAGTGAATTAAAATACAGCAGCTTTCCTTCCAAGGTGCATACAAACACAAGTTATTAAATGTTTCATGTGGCCAAACTATTGCCCCACCTTCATTATCAAAACCAGATAGTACATTCAAAACTGAACAGGCTTGAAAACCTAGTCAAGGAATTTTCATGTTAAATTTTTAAATCTACATTTGTGGAGCATCCACTCCTTTATGCCTCACGTGTGGAAAAGAGTTCTTATTGCCCAGAAAGCTCTCAATTTCTTCACACACACACACACACACACACACACACACACACACAATCTCAGTGATTTCCTTATTTTAAATTCATCTCTTAAGTCCCAGCTTAAATGTAATTTCTTCAGGAAAGACTTCACCACAGTCCAATTAAATTGGGGCTACCTGTATTCTTATAACTCTCTACTTTACTAAATCACCTACCTGTACTAAAAAAAACTTTCTTATTTAATGTCTGAGTCCTCCCACCAGGCTAGAAGCTCAATGAGGGGAAGTCTCCCTGTTCTCAACTCTATCCCCGAACTCAGCCCAGTGCCACTTCACAAATATTTACTATACACTGAATGAATGAATGAATGAATGAATGAATGAACCAACCTTGAAATTGGAAACTTACTGTATTTACAAGGACACATTTAAATATTACAAGTTGAGCAGTAAAATATAGCTTCAAAGTATAATTTAAAAAATATATATATTTTATTGAATTTTTTTTTTTACAGAGAGGAAGAGAGAGGGATAGAGAG